TTCAAAAACTCTCTCGTCATTCTCTTCGGATCTTTGGATGGCTTCTTGCTGTGACTTCATCATGTCAAGGATTGCTAGCTCCATGTCATCGCCGCTAAGCCTTTTCTTCTTCTTTTTTGGTCCTTTTTCATCCTTTTGCCCAGTTTTTCCAGTTTTCTCTGCATCCGCACTATCTCCTCCAGCAGAGCTGGGCGGCCGTTTCTCTGTTTTCTTACTGCAATCTTGATTTCCGGTCGATAAAATATCGTCGGTATCATCAGAGCTGCAATCCTGTCGGTGGGCTTTCGTTTCCTTGACAAATCTTGGATTCACTTTGTCTGATGAAGCCATAAATTCGTCGATGTCTTCATAGTGCTTGAACGTTTTCCGTTCCCTTCCCGTGCGATTGTTGTTATCACATACGCTTTTGTATTTATCCAAGAGCGCCCGCCACTTTTCCTTTAACTGCGCTAATGACTTTTCAGATTCCACGCCATTGTCAAAGCACATACTTTGAAACTGCTTCAAAATATCTTCCCATATGTTTTTTTTGGCTTGACTGCTTTTTGTAGACTTAAGTCTATCGTAGTACTCCTTAAAAGCGGCAATTAAGCATCTCTCTTCGGTCAACGACCAGCTACTGCGCTTGTTACGATCGTCGCTTCGGTTCGAGGATTCACTTGGAGTTGGACTAGCGCTGTCCCTGTCTGGTTCAAACTGAAGGTGATTGCTAGTACCGGGTACAGGGTTCTGGTAAATCGGGTAGGGATTTAACATCGCTGGATAATGCAGTGGAGGCTGATTTTGAGCCATGCTAACACCATACAGGGTATTACCAGTGTTGTTGATTCCCTGCGGCCTTGTTTGATTTCGTGCCGCAAATAAATATCCGTTGTAATAGGGATCTTCATTTTGACTAGCGTTCCTATAAACAGATAAACAGAAAGATTATAATTTAATCAACCTCGTAACTGGCAGTCTGAAGGGCAAACTCATGAAAATAAATAAAGAAAGAAATACTCACAGTGATGCACGAAACCCTGCCATGTTATCTCGTGCTAGAAGTAGGCGCGAAATTAGCCAAGTGCTTCAGAGGTCACCTCAGAGCGCCTCACGCGATTTCCTGTATTAGCTGCGTTCTGCTTTATGATTGGCCAAGCCACCTCAGGGAGCAGATAAACCGTACTTTTCAGTTCAGGAACTGTCATGGGAAGTTCTTTTGTTCTTTTTGATGTATCCATGGAAATAACCCTAGGGCAGTTTCGGTCTGGGAAAAGCGGTTACACACAAAAAAGTCCTTTCCCGTGGGCAAACGCTATTTACCCATGGGTAAAAGGGCTAGTATAACCACGACTATTGCTTTGGGGTAGCTGTCAAGGGAAACTCTATTGTTATCGAGACATATCCAAGCCCCAGACGATAAAATTTCCCCGAGGTAAGTTAGCTAGGGAAAAATCGGTCACACTTAAAAAATCAAGTTTCCCTAGGTAAACTGTCAACAAGTCGTGTTTACCTAGGTAAAAAGTCTGTAGTGTGACCACAGCTATTGTGAGCAAATTAAGGTCTGGAGTGAAAGTCATGCATCGCATATCGTAGCAGAATAAAATTTACGATACCTTGGAAAGTTCCGCCCTAAGAATTCATCGGAGTGTGTTCGTTTCTTGTAGCCGTGCTAAAGGTTGTAATTTTTGCGGGTTGTTAACATTTTGTTCTGAAACTTTCCTCGAGAAACTCTCCCCGTTGAACGGACTACGCAGCTATGGCGATCGATGAGGAAAACTACGTCGTGTGAGAAAACACAAAAGTCAACCGGCAGCTTCTCTTCGCTGATTGGCCAGAAAAAAATTTTTCTGGCCAATCAGAAGCAGGCAATTCAAACGCTTCTGGAACTGGTTCGGAAAGAGTAAGTGCCCAGGGGCTCGTCTTTCACCACGAACATTTTATCGACCTGACTAACTGTCCCTGGGTCTCCGACGATGAAACATGTCATATGGCTCCTTAGAACTTACGTTGCTTACAGAGCGTCTTTCGATCCATAACTTCAGTCAAACACAATATGTTCACTTTTGTCGTTAAAGAGTTTATGATGCACGCGGTAAGTGCTTGAAGCAGTTTTTTCTTGCGTCCACGGGATTTCGGAGAAAAAAATTGGAAGTAATTCATTTCCGTCATTTTCGTTTTCTTTTATTATGAACTACATGATAAGAAAAAAAAAAAAGTAAAAAAATCATGGTTTATGATCAGATAACTCGGTACTAAAAGAGATTTGTCGAAGGCAGTTTTGAGAAATCATTTGGGAAAATAAAATACAACGTCCAGAACACTTGTTTTGCCACTGTATGGCAAAAGCTTTAAGACGAATTTTTGCCAGCAACAAATGTTTATACAAAACGGTGTATGGCTAGTATGACAGTTCGAATGGTTTCACATGCACAACATCTAGCAGTAGTGGTCTTAAACGGCTACATTAGAACGTTCAGTTTTCTTTAAGATATCTTTGGGTGGTATATTGGTATATTGTTATTTGAGCTAGAATTTTTTGATACTGGCGGTGAACCATTTAGAAGGTTTGCGATCCTCCTTCCCAGGTTGGAGTCAGGAAAACTGTTTCTACTTTCGCCGATTCCGCTGTCTTGATCATTAAAGAGATGTTTCCTTTCGCCGTGGTCGTTCCTATTCTGTTGGGTTGTAACCAAGCGAAAAAAGGTGGCGAAAATTACAAGTATCACAAATAGAACACTTCCAACAGCAATGGACAGTGCCTCCCACAGGGTTTTTCCGTCATCTTGGCTAGCTGCGCGGGTGCGGCACATGGAATGTTCCGCCCGCTGATGATGAGTTATGCACAAGTCACATCTCTATAGCCTCATTTAAGCGTTCACTACTTCAATATTACAATAAGGTGCTGGACCTGTACGACGTTGACGACATCAGAACCTGGAGAACAGTCTGTCCCAGGTGCAGCATAGCGAGGACTCTCCTGTGCCCGCCGACGTGCTGCTTCTAGCAATTTGAACTTCTGTTTTGTTTCCTTTTGATTTTCTTGTTTATATATCAGTAGCTCTAGTTATTCTTGTTTTTTTTCAACGATTGTCTTGTTTTGTTTTTTAATTAACGACGGATCCATTGTAATTGGTCAGGCTGTAGTGGTCTCCCTGCCTAATAATCTTTATGTATTCATGTATAAAGATTGTATTCTAGTTAGGAGAAGCTAAATAAATAAATAAGTCAACTTTTAACATGAAAGATGATGTGGTTCTACACGCGGTAAATCGTACTACCTATTTTCCAGAGGGCGGGGAGGGGGCAGAAAAAATGTAAAAAAATCATAAAATTTCGGGAAGTGACGTCACTGGAAGGCATTAATGGCCGGTCGATTCAAACGTTACTGAGGGAGTAAGCGACTCCAAGTAACGTCTGAAATTCCGGCTATCGGTTATTCAAGAATACAACTGCGGGCTCGCCATCAATAATGTACATTACGGCCTTACATACTTAGTCTTGTATATTAGCTGCATCCTTGTTAGACGAAGTAACGTCTGAAATTTTGGCTATCGGTTATTCAAGAATACAACTGCGGGCGCGCATTTTGCTCGCCAGCAATAATGTCCATTACGGTCTTACATACTTAGTCTTGTATATTAAGTGCATCCTTGTCGGTTCACCACACTGTGCCGTACTTTGATCTCCAATTTTTGTGTAAATAGCACCATTTTGTAGCCAACGACATATCTGAAACGATAAACAATTCATGAGCGGGAAGACTTCTTGTCGGGAGACTCAGAGATCAAGTCCTGACCACCGTTCTGCGTCTTAGGTGATAGCAAAGTCGTTGACTGAAGCACTTCCTTACTTACGATGTCACTGACTGTTAACACTGTGCGTTGCGGATTGGCTGTATTTTTCAACGCATTTGAAATGTATCACTAAATTTGCCCTGTTCTGCTTTCGGAACATTTAGATGTTGTTATAAGCAGGTGAAAAACATTGCGTATTGATGAATTAATTAACAGCGGTGACGATACTTTCAGATCTAAACTTAGAGAAAGAACTACGACTTAATGATGTCAAAATTCGTATTGTTTAAATTTCCGCTCTTTTCCCAACGTGGAAATATATTTCGTTACCTCGCAGAGAGAGTATACTCTAGAAGCGCTTATTCATTTGTACACTCGATGAAAAAACTCACCGCTACATCAACAACACAATGATTTTTGTGTTGTAATGGCGCTTTAATTTTAAATGAGATGCAGGGATTGTATGCATACTTATAATCAGCCATCTTTCCTCTGCCTGGTACCTCCAGAAAGCTGTTGGAGGAAGAAATCTTAAGGTGATTTTTAGATCATTGAAGTGCCCGAAGGATAAGGCGTTCTGCATTTACAATTTATACAGAATTGCCTAGCCAATTAGTCAGTAATTTAGACTAGTACAGTGAAAACCCGCGTGTAAGAAACTACATTATTTAAAGTCTGGCTATTTTGGGGTAGTTATTGGTAGTTCTTAATTTCTATAAAGATACAGTTCTATCAAGATATAGTTGTTGACTTCTATAAAAATAAATAAACTTGGGTTTGGTCTTGAAATATACAGAATTTGTTCCCAAAAGTCTTAATATACATGAAAACATTTCTCGATTGTGATTGGCTAAGAGAAATGCAGTTTGTTGGTAACACGGTGCAGAAAAAAGGTAATTTAGTGCAGAAAAGAGGTAACAATCGAGGCATTCTGATTGGTTAATAAACAAAGGAACTCACTGAGAGCCAATCAAGTGCGCCATCTTAATGGCGTAAAATTTGGATCCGCTCTGGACCAGTTTCGAGCAAAAACCGTAATGGCTGGCGTTTGTAGCAGATTTGCTTTTGCGACCTCAATAACTATAGAGGAGCTGAAAAACTGCTCCAAAAACGAGAAACACTGCAAAAAGCAGCGATTTTTGGCTCTCTGTTTGGAAGAAATGCTCCTTAGAAAAGAAAATTACAGATGAAATAGAAAATTATGAGCCGGCTGTGCTTAACACTTTGCTCGAGCATCTCTACGCCGAAGTAAAAAATAAACAAGGTGAAGATTATGAACCAGAAAGCCTTAAAGTAATGATGGCCTCGCTTGACAGACACTTAAAGAACAAAGGCTACACCCTGTCCATTGTACGTGACCGAGAATTTAGTTCGTCCAAACAGGTGTTGGAAGGCAAAGCGAAACAGCTTCGCTTGGCTGGCCGTGGTAAGCGCCCAAACAAAGCTCCACAAGTATCAGAGGAGGAAGAAGAAATTCTCTGGAAGAGCGGAAAATTCGGAGGTAATAACCCAGAATCTTTAATTCAAACAATGTGGTGGCTCCTTACCCAACACGTTGGTCTCCTTGGAAGGCAAGAACACCACGGAATGAGACTGGAGGATTTCAGAATCATGAACGGTAACGACGGCCTCGAATTTGTTGAGTTTGCATAAGGGCCTACGAAAACAAGACCTGGAGGTTTGAGTGCAAAGCCAAGACAGTTCCAGCCCAAAATGTTTCACTCCGGGGAAGGAAGATGTCCAGTTACTTTATTTCGTCAGTACATTAGCCGTACACCTTCCAATCTGAGGACGAGTGGTCCATTTTATCTCTCGATAAAGTACAACAGACGAGTCGACGACGAAATTTGGTACAAGGTACAGCCCATGGGAGAAAATAAAATCAACTCCATGATGAAGAGCATCATCTCCGGAACAGACCTTGAGACATCTGAGAAGCGGTTTTCCAATCACAGTGCCCGTAAAACAGTAGTCGGCAAGATGAAGAAGACGAATCTCGAAAGGTCGGCAATTGCAAAAGTCACTGGTCACAGAAATATCCAATCTTTAGATGACTACGATGAAGCAGACGAAGACGAACAGCGACAGCTTTCGTGGGCCATCTCACGAATGAATAGCACACCGAAGCCAGCGGGTAATACACCTGGTCCTTTTACTTAAAGTGCAGTAATTCCACATAAGATGAGTTCACAAGCGCAGAATGTAATTAAGTCCTTCACCAACTGCAATGTAACATTCAACCTCAACAACACCTACCATTCGCCTACCATTCGCCCTTGCAAACGGCGATTGCGCTTCATCGAAAGTGACTCCGATATAGATTGAACGATTCCATGAACTGTTTAGTCCGTTGCGGCGTGTCAACTTTAAAAACATCGAGAAAAATGTTGCTTTGACTGCACGTGTGATGATATTTGCAGCACTTGGAATAAATTATTTTTGCACATGGTTTACGTGATTTTAAAGCTATCTCGCAATTTTTTTCATGAATATTATTAATAAGTAATCACATGGTTTTTCTCGTGCAATTTGGAATAAATAAGCACTCGTAAATTTTTTCAAAGACCAGAAATTGCACTCGCTCTACGGGCTCGTGCAATTTTGTTAGCCTTTGAAAAAATTTACTTGTGCTTATTTATTCCAAATTGCACTCGAAATCATGTGATTACCTGTACTAATAAAACTGATTACAGAATGTATAATTATTTAGTGTTACTTCCCCAACGAGAGTTGTACATTGAAAAATAAAGTAAAATAAACAATTTGCTTATACATGTAAATAAGGTACTTTCTTGAATATAAATTTGCAATCTCAAAGTCAAACTCCTTGGTTAAAACATTTACCATAATATTTTAATGTATCCCACATTTAAGAACCTGCTTGATCCTGTTTAGCTAAACAGGTTCTTCAGTTTGAGTATTAAAATATATAGTAAATTTCTGCCAGCAGGTTTCAAACCAATAGATTCTTACTAGCAGTTTTTTCCTGTATTCGAAGCTGCTTTTAAAATATGTCAGTAACGGCTTTCAAACCTGGGATTCCCATCAGTTCTTTGCAGTGGTTGAAGGTTGTAGACACCCCCATTGTTATCATAGCAAACACATGTTCCGTTCGTTCCCCTGGTTTCTCTGTATACAACGAACAAACACATCAAGGCTAAATACATACACTGCTTTATCCGGCCGCACATCAGTGGCAAACGTGGCTGCAATTAGTAAACAATGATAAGGATCATATTCAGTTAATAGCCTTAAAGTGAACCAAATAATTATATTCTGCTAAGGGGACAGAATACAACTAGTTAAAATTAAAGTGTAAAAGACAAATTAAAAAAAAAATGCTAAATCACATAATACATAATATATTTTTTGGACCCAATATAACTAGGTGAAATTATGTTTAAAAAGATAATAAAAACAATAAAGTAAAAAATCCATACGAAAATAACAAAATGAAAATTGCTTAAAAGCTCTTATAACACGGAGTGATGCCAAATATAATAGAGGTGACGGTTTCTAGGTTTCAATTACCAAAATGTTCTATTTATCGAAAATCCTACACAGCCACTCCTTCACGTCTAGTCTCCTTACCTATTGTGCTGGTCAGATCACGTACAATCTCAGTTATTTTATAAATGATAAGAAAAGTCGGGGACCTTAAGTCCTCTGAAAAGCTCAGCAGAGCTTGCTGAGATCTCCTGCTCATGTGTTACTACGAATACCAAATGTACAATATTAATTTTCCTCAAAATGGCCGAGTTCCCTCAAAGCTAATAAACGACCATCGCCTATAAAAATGTAAGGAGCAAACATGTTAGCCCTTGGTTACGCTCCTCAGTTTTCGACAGTTTGTAAGTGTTTCGTTTCGCTGTTTTCTAATCACGTGTATACTTACTGAGTGGATAAATCATGTGATCTAACTTCAGTGAACAGGGATCATATAAGTTTGATCTCTAGCGAGATCGAAACGTAACTACGTTAAAACTGTTAACGAACAAGCACGGTTATAAATACTGCCATGACCGATTGTCATTGATCATTCCTTCGACATATAACGAAATTCTGAAATACAACTGAACGATTTTAAAAACAATAACAAAGAAATATTGTGTTGCAGACTACCAAAATCTTATTGCTAGTTATAGTAGTGTTGTTTTATCGAGCGGGTCTGATACCGTGCTTGCCATTAAACTGATATTTTGATAGTTGGTGCACATAATGTTTGCTAGATAAAAAAAAGGAAATCATTGTGACTGCATTCACTTAACACTATTCTGGACCCAAAGAAAACCTGTCTACCTCTAGATCAAGCTACTACGAAACTAACGGGTTTGTTTTCTTACCTTATTTAGTCCTAAGATTTGCTATAGTTAGACCTTTGCTACGTCTAGTCAAGACGGTTTCCTCTTTGAATAATTGGGCGCCTTTCACAGATTCTCAATTGCTGCTAGTGGCACAGAGACAGGACAAAATGCTTCCGGGAAAGTCCCTAAGTGTCACGTGATACTATACAAATTGCGTTGCGTCTTCTTCACCAAACAATACAGCACGGAATCATCTGTTGGACGTAAAGTTCATTGAGATTGAGAATATTCTGAGGTAAGAAATGTATCTATTGAGTTTGCGCATCCTGATCTAGTAATGACTACTAGTACAGATCTAACGGGTTTGAGATAACTCAGTTGGGGTCTCTTCTTTTAGGCGAAATAATATGAAGAAATGGTCCAGTATCGCGTCATGCAACTATTGACTACCTCTTGATCTTGTATTTCCAAAAGGAAAAAAAAAAAAAACATAAGAAAATACTGACAATACATTCATACATTATACTCCCACATATTATCTCAGGATATCCGTAAAAAAACAATCTGGTTGATTGTTGTCTGAATGTCTGATTTCCGCGATATGACCACATAAGCAAAAACTCAATTGATTTCATTTTGGAAATCGTGAAAGGAGTAAGTAAGCTTGTTTTAGCTATGTTTTTAAACTAGGAATTATTTTGAATGAATAATAAAACAATTATTGAATTCGGCTTTCGTATCATATGAAGAATTACGGAGATCTCGGAGGGTGTTATCCGCCTCGACCTACGGCCTCGACGGATAACGCCCTCCTCGATCTCCATAATTCTTCATAAGATACTCAGCCTCATTCATTAATTGTTAATTATGGAGATCGAGGAGGGTGTTATGTGTCGAGGCCGTAGGCCGAGGGGGATAACACCCTCTGAGATCTCCATAATTCTTCACATGATACGAAAGCCGAATTCAATAATTGTTTAATTATTCATTCAAAATAATTCCTAGTTTAAAAACATAGCTAAAACAAGCTTACCTGCATCGATGTTAAGGTTATCTTCGATAGTATACGTTTTAGGTTTGTCCAGCTCCGCAAATATTCCCCAAATAGCAGTTGTCGCCCTCCGAGTTGTCTTCTTGCTGTTCTGTTCGTTAAAAGGTTTGAATGGTGTTAAATCAATCCTTGCACATTTCCAAGTTCTTATGTGATTGATTTTGAAAGTTTTGGTTGGGAAAAGGCTTGAATTTGACATACTTAACGTTCCAATTTGTTTCAACCAATCAGCTGAATGAACTAAAATTGCGCGTGCTGTTAAAATGTGTTGTAGTAGTTATTTTTGTCGTGTATATTATTAATATATAGATTTAGCCAAGGCCAAAAGCGAAGCGCTCGAAGGATGCTTTATGAAATCTCTTCCTCAATTAATTATACTTTGGCCGTAAGCAGAGAGCAAACTGAATTCTACCTTTAAAAAAATTAACCTGCACCCGAGATCAATTAAAAACGAACAACTGATCAGCGGATAACTTCAAAAAATTACATCACTTCCATGAGTTGTGTGTCTGAGCCCGCGATGCAGTCACGTGACGCTGGTCAGCGGATACCGTTTTTTGACAGATGTCGATTGATCACAACATGGATGTCCAATACCAAGTATTACACAGATAGTATTAAAGTGTGCCATTTCGCATCCGCTATTATGAAGGGTTGGACGTCCGTATGGATGTACTCCGTACGGACGATTTTCTCAGAACCAAAATTTCTTGGAAGCTTAGATTACCATATTTTCTTACCCATGGTGCTCCGCTATTAAGTAATCACATGTTTTTCCCGTGCAATTTGGAATATAAAACGACTTGTATTTTTTACTGGTCCTTATTTATTCTGTACGAGAAAAATCCTAAGATGACCTATACATAATTCATTTCGTATATAAACCTTGCACCGGTTCTAAAGTAAATGTAATTCCACTGAAGAAGGGTCAAGCCTGAAACGCTTTGAAAGCAACTGCATTATAATACACGGCACTTTTGTCCATACTTTACTTTTTTAATGAACATTTTCTTCATTTTGTTCACACTAAACTGAATAACGTGTCGTGCCAACACGAAAAGCTACCCGCTAGAAGTCGCTTCAAACATCGAATATCGATCGTACCAGCGCAGTTAGACGACAGAGATTGATACGGAACTAATCCCAGTCCTCGCTCCTGAATATTTGCTTCAGTCTCA